AGGTTTGTGGCTTGCTCCCTCTGAAACCACAGCCCAAGCTGTATCTGGGGGTCCTCTGAGCTGAGGCCGAAGCTGGAGAGGGGAGCAGTGTCCTGAGGCTGTGTAGGGTAGCAGGTCCTAGCCCTCTAAACCATTATTTCCTCCTAGGCTTCAGGGCCTGAAATGGGAGGGATTGCCTTTGAGATTTCTGGAATATCTTGGAGGCCTTTTTCTCATTGTCTTGACTATCAACATTTGGTTCTTTTTTCAGTTACACAAATATCTTTAGTAAATGCTTACTCCACTGCCTGCTTGAATTCCTCTACAAAAACACTGTTTCTTTTTGCCACATGACTGGGCTGCAAATTTTCTGAAGTTTTATTTTCTGCTTCCCTTTTAAATATAAATTCCAACTTTACATCATTTCTTTGCTTCCATATATGATTGCAGGTTGTTAGACGCAGCCAGGAGACATCTTAAATGCTTTGCTGCTTAGAAATGTCTTCCATCAGGTCCCTAGGCCATCACTCTCAGGTTTAAGCTTCCACAGAGCACTAGGGCATGAACAGAATGTAGCCAAGCTCTTGGCTATGGCGTAACAAAAGTGACCTTTCCTCCAGTTCCCGGTAAGTTCAGTTCAATCTGAGACTTCCTCAGCCCGGACTTCACTATCCTTATCAGTATCTGTGTTTTGGTCATAACCATTTAACTGGTCTCTAAGAAGATCCAAACTTTCTATCATCTGCTTGTCTTCTGAGCCCTCCAAACTCTTCCGACTTCTGCTGGTTACCAGTTCCAAAGCCACTTCTGCATTTTTAGGATTCTTTATAGCAATGCCCCACTCTTTGGTACCAATTTTCTGTATTAGGCCTTTCTTGAATTGGTCTGTTGGTGAGAGTTAAACTTTGTAAAATATTTGAAGATATTTATTCTGAGTCAAATACAAGTGACCAGTGGCCTGAAGTACAGTCTCAAGAGGTCCTTAGAACATGTGCCTAGTCAGGCCACAGCTTGGATTTATACAATTAGGGAGACGTAAGACATCAATCAATACATGTAAGATGTATATTGGTTAGGTCCAGAAAGGTGGGACAATTCAAAATGGGGGCTTCAAGGTCATAGGTGGATTCAGTAATTTTCGAAATTGCAATTGGTTGAAAGAGTTATTGTCTAAAGGCCTAGACTCAATAGAAGGAATGTCTTGGTTAAAACAAGCGATTGTGAAGACCAAGGTCCCCAGTATACATAAGAAGCCTCCAGGTAGCAGGCTGCAGAGAGAATAGATCGTAAATATTTATTAGTGCCAGAGTCTTAGTGGATTCTTTTCTGGAATCCACTAAGATTCCAGAAAAAAGGCCTACAAAAGGAAGGGGATCCTCTACAGAATGTAGATTTTTTTCCCCAAGAGACAGCTTTGCAGGCCCATCAAGATATGGTAAAGAAACATAATTGGAGTTAACATATTTTAATTCCCTTCTTTATCTGTCCTGTGATGTTATGGCCCAGTTAGATTGGACAGTGAGCCATGTTATATAGGGTTAAATAAAACCCCTCTGATGAGACTTTATGGTGTTTGTAGGATGTGAATCCTTAAGCCCCTTAGATAGGAATTTGGGCAAGAGAAGAAAAAGGTCAGAGTTTAGTCCTCAGGTATAAAGAAATACCTGAGACTGGTAATTTATAAAGAAATGAGAATTAATTGGCTCATGGTTCTGCAGGCTGTACAAGTGAGGGCTAAACTTTGATTTTTTATCTAGCCCAAGTTCCTACCTCAGGGGTCTAGGGAGTCATGCCCTACAAACCACAAATTCTCATCAGATGGGTTTTATTTGAACTTATATATCATGACTTACTTTTCAGTCTGACTCTGGCATAACTATGAGACAAAGAAAAAGTATTCAACCCCAAAATATATTTCCTTGCCATACCTTGAAATTGTCTTGCAAAGTCTCTTGTGGGAAAAATCCACATTCTATAGAGAATCCCCTTTCCCCTTTGTTTTCCTTCCTTTCTTTCCAGATCTAGGAGATAATCGACTAAGAGCCAGGCACCCTTTTAAGTCCAATAAGAAAAATTTTACGGCCTGCTCTCCCTGAAGTCTGCTATCTGAGAGCTTCTTCTGCACAATAAAACATGGTGTCCACAATCCTTTATCTCAACCTAAACATTTTATTTGATTCCAGGTTTTCAGATAAACTCAATCCGTTGTCAACCAGAAAATATTTAAATTTACCTGTAGACTGGAAGCCCCAGCTTTTGAGTTGTCCTGCCTTTCTGAAAGAAACCACTGTATTTTGTAAGTGTATTCGATTGATGTCTCATGCCTCCCTAAAGTACATAAAACCAAGCTGTACCCTGACTACCTTGGACATATGTTCTCAGGACCTCCTGAGGGCTGTGTCATGGGCCATAGTCACTCGTATTTGGCTCAGAATAAATCTTTTAAAATATTTTACAGAGTTCGACTCTTTTTGTTGAAACAAGCATGGTACCAACAAATACTTGGCTTCTGGTGAGGGCCTTACGAACCTTACAATCATGGCAGAAGGCAAAGGAGAAATACGTATGTCATACAGCAAAAGGAGCAAGGAGTGGGGGTGGTAACACACCCTTTTAAATGACAAGATCTTGTGAGAACTCACTATGGTGAGGATGGCACCAAGCTAGGAGGGATCTGCCTTGTGACCCAAACACTTCCCAGTAGGCCCTACCTCCAACACCAGCATTACATCTCAGCATGGGATTTGGAGGGGGCATCCAGATTTTATCTTTGAGGTTCTGTGGGTTTATGGTTTTCATCAAATTTGGAAAATTTTCAGCCATTATTTCTTCAAACATTCCCTTCCTCCCAAACATTGTGGACGCTGCTTACACACGTCAAGTCACATGAAGTTTCCCACAGCTCACTGATATGCTTTCATGTTTGTTAATGTACTTTTTTTCTCTTTCATTTTTGCATAGTTTCTATTGGTTTGTCTTTAAATTTACCAGTCTTTTCCTCTGCAACATCTAATATGCTATTAATCCCACTAAGTGTTTTTTTTTTTCAAATTGTGTCTAATTCTAGTTTTCATCTCCAGAAGTTAGGTTTGGGTCTTTTAAACATCGTCTATGCCTCTACTTAACTTTTGAACATATGGAAAAAGTCTTAATGATGGTTTGAATGTTCTTGTCTAGTAATTCTAACATTTGGATCAGTTTTAGTTTGGTTTCAAGTCTATCTGGATGACTTATGGCATTTCTCTATTCTGCATTTTTCTTTGTTTTTGACTAAATGGTCCCTTGAATACTTGGTTATTTTTTAGATTACTGGACTTTGTATATGAAAAAAAGTATAGCTGATTTGATACTCTGGATTATCTTACATTCTTCCAAATCAGTCATGCTTAGGGCACTGGCAATCCCAGATTACCCTAAGCCAGTCAGGTATTAGGACAATTCATAGCTGGGTGTCAGTTCTTGTGAGGGCTGTTTTATTTACAGTTTATCTTTACTCCTTAGATTTTGTCTTTCTTGGGGTTCCCATTCCAAACCTAGGGGTTTTAGCAGCATGCCCTTCCCTCTTATCTTGGTAGGTTGTATTCTAGGTAGACATTTACTAAAATCCATTCATATTTTTTACAGGAAAAAATTGTAGAGTTCTCAACATTAAGGGTAAGGTGACAGAAATCTTTGCCCTTCTCCCAATATAGTAGTTCTTGTGCCCTAGAAGGTGATTCATTTGATTCCACCATGTTTGTGCCCTTAGCCCCTCGAATCTCAGCTTCTCAGCTGCCTTTACTGGAACTGTCAGAAGATGTCATTAGTAGATGTCTTTATGAGACAAGTGACCCCAGATAGTGGAGTCACTTCCCTCAGTTTTTTTCTTCCCTATAATTTTGTCATCATAATTCTTCAGTGACTTGGTTTGCTTTCTGATATCTTCAAAATGTGTGTCTCTCTGTGTGTGTTTATATGTGTGTGTGTATATGTACATACATATATATTTTTACAAACTTTGTCCAGTTTTTGTCCTTCTCATCAGTAGGGTTGGTGTAGATGAGGTGATGTAGCCTTTGTTAGAAGTGGAATTCTCTAGTGCTATCTCTCACATCAAACTGCCTATTGTCTATTTAACATCACCCTGTCAGCATCTCAACTTACCATCAACCAAATGGACCATGATTTAGCCCAGCCCCATCCTATTTTCTCTTTGATTTTGTTCTTGAGACATCGTTACCCCAGGATTTTAACCTCAAACCCTGATTCACTTTGCTTTTGTTTTTCCCTCCATCCCTCCATATCCATTGGAGCCTTCAGTCATTGCCTTCTCTCCGCCCCCATCGTCACGGTCTTAGTCCAGGTCTTTATTGGATTTTCCTTGAGTGTTCTCATGTGTTCCCATCTGTCTCTCTAGCCCAATGTATTCCCAGCACTTGTCTCCTCCATACTTGTAGCAATGTTATGTGCCTGGAAAACAAATTGGTCATTATATTATTCTGACTGCACGTTTTTTGCTGGATTTTAATTCCCTAGAGTGTAATTGCCAAGGCCCCCACACCTGGACCTCACCTTTCTCCAGCCTCCTCTCACTCCTTTGCTTATCCCGGCAGTTTCTTACCCATGCCTTGTCTTTCCGGGGACCTGAATGTCCCCCTCCTCTTGTGAATCCCCCATTCTTCTTCTTATTCCTCAGTTTTCAACTCAGCTGTTACCTATTCTGATGTGGTTGGAGACATGTTCTATATTTGGTTAACTAATAAGTAATAAAGAAATAGAAGAACGAGGTAACCTGTATCATTTTATTAGCGTGTGTGACAGTGAATAGCAGTGAATAGGAGTGAAATGGTTAACTTGAGAGAAAAATTTAGTAGTACATAGCAGGAATTTTAACAAATGAATTAACAATGAATATGTAAAATAAATGTATTTGAAAAACTCAATATTTTAATTTGTTAGGTTTGAGGTTATGTTGTTATACTCTTCATTTTTAAATGTTGTCTATTGTATGTGTTATTTTTTATTTTTGTTAACTTTCTCAGCTTCTAATCCTAAGAGGACACCATCAGCCAATTACTGCTATGGCTTTTGGAAATAAAGTGAATCCACTTCTAATCTGCTCAGCATCGCTGGATTATGTTATAATGTGGAACCTGGATGAATGTAGAAAGAAAGTACTTCAAGGTAAATGAAAATCTAAAACATGCTTTTAAAAACCTACAAACGGAATAACTCATCCTTCAGTATACTTGGTACTACCCAAGGGGTGTTTCCCTTGGGTAACACCAATCCATCAGGGGGATTTAGGTTAATTCTGCATTCCCTTTACCTTGAAACCAGGCGTGCAAGCAGGGTGCTTTATATGGGGAGGACACCAGGCTGTTCAGACTCACTGACCTTTGTTGTGTGTTATGCTGATCTTATAGGCTCACTGGTTTTGATCTTATGTCACTTCTTATTTCAAAAACTGTCAATTTTGTGTCAACCTGAAAACATGTAGGCAAGTTGAAATATTCTGTTCTTGCACATCATGGTTTCTTGAGCATCTGTAATATTTCAGGCTGCAAACACCGTGGTGAATAGGAAGGGCTTGGTCCCAAATCCTGTGGAAGTCACAGCTCAGAGTTTGAGACAGACAGACGCCTGCTGTGGAAGCCAGTGACTGAGCGGCTATGAATTGTGGATGTGCAGCTGAGAAGGCAGATGAGGACAGGGCAGCATGCACATGCATGGAAGCACTTTGAGAAGCAGGACCTCAGGGAGTAGCCTGTGGGCTGAGGATGAGAAGGGATGGGATAGGGGGCTATGCTTTTGGCAGATGGACCTGACTTTGCCAAGGCCCTGGAAAGGAAAAGTGAGAACCTGCCTGTGTTCTTGGAGCATGCTGATGTTAGGAGAGTCTTATCTGAGAAAGTCAAAAAGTTAGGTGGGGACCACATTAAGGAATTTGAATTTTGTATAATTATATAGAGAAGTTAGAGGATTACATTAAAACACAAATGCAAAGTGACTATAAATCTATGTAGTCTATCTAGGAATATAGCACATGTGTCTCTCTCTCTAGACTTGGTGGCTGTGGGACATGAGCACGTGTGTGTCTCTCTAGACTTGGTGGCTGTGGGACACGAGCACGTGTGTGTCTCTCTAGACTTGGTGGCTGTGGGACATGAGCACGTGTGTGTCTCTCTAGACTTGGTGGCTGTGGGACCTGAGTGCGTGTCTTTCTCTAGACTTGGTGGCTGTGGGACATGAACATGTGTGTGTGTTTCTCTGAACTTGGTGGCTGTGGGACATGAGCACGTATCTCTCTCTAGACTTGGTGGCTGTGAGACGTGAGCACATTTGTGTCTCTCTAGACTTGGTGGCTCTGGGACCTGAGCGCGTGTCTCTCTCTAGACTTGGTGACTGTGAGACATGAGCATGTGTGTGTCTCTCTAGACTTGGTGGCCCTGGGACCTGAGCGTGTGTCTCTCTCTAGACTTGGTGGCTGTGGGTCCTGAGCGTGTCTCTCTCTCTCTAGACTTGGTGGCTGTGGGACCTGAGCGTGTCTCTCTCTCTCTAGACTTGGTGGCTGTGGGACCTGAGCGTGTCTCTCTCTCTCTAGACTTGGTGGCTGTGGGACATGAGCACATGTGTGTCTCTCTAGACTTGGTGGCTGTGGGACATGAGCACATGTGTGTCTCTCTAGACTGGGTGGCTGTGGGACCTGGTGGCTGTGGGACCTGAGCGTGTCTCTCTCTAGACTTGGTGGCTGTGAGACCTGAGTGTGTATCTCTCTCTAGACTTGGTGGCCCTGGGACCTGAGCGTGTGTCTCTCTCTAGACTTGGTGGCTATGGGATATGAGCACGTGTGTGTCTCTCTAGACTTGGTGGCTGTGGGACCTGAGTGTGTCTCTCTCTAGACTTGGTGGCTGTGGGACCTGAGCGTGTCTCTCTCTAGACTTGGTGGCTGTGAGACCTGAGTGTGTATCTCTCTCTAGACTTGGTGGCTATGGGACATGAGCTGTGTGTCTCTCACAGGCTCTGAGGGGAGTATATCTGTATTTTGCTGGTGATAGGTCCATGGTGCACACCAGGACCAGATAACCTTGCCCGCCATTTTTTCCTTCATCTCTGCGGGTTTGGAGGATGGGCTTTGTATCAGGTTGCAGCTGCTGCACACGTTGTTTGGGTCTTGGGAACCTCCTGGCTGCTTGTAGGTGTCCTGACATTGCTTAGTCCCTGGAGGCCTAGGTTGGATCGGCCCCTACTGCCTTCCTTCCAACTGATGTTGGCTGAGCCTGGACATGAGGGTGCACGTGGGGTTGGATGTGGGTGAGAAGCGTCAAAACATGCAGTTCGATGTGCATGACTCTCACTGCAGACTCCAGAGAAAGGCATCTTCCTGTTTTGATGCTGAGGGATTCTCTGCAGGGAAGTGCTGCATTTCCCAGGTTGTCACACTTCTGTATATTCGGTATATTTGATATTCTTAAAGAATCAAAAACACATCAAACTCATTGTAATTCTCTCAGTAATTTTAGAATAGAGGGTTACATTCTTAGTACTTTTCTCGCATTAATGCAATGCTGAATGCATTTGGTGAATGGGCACTAATGGTGAAACTCACTCTAGGGTTGGTCCCGCGAGGGACTGTCATGGGCTCACTTTTGGGAAAGGTGCTGTGTTTACAGTTGAGCCCGGATGATCAAGTTGTTGCCGTGTGTGCTGGAAACAAAATACTCACGCTGGATATCGAGGTAAGATTGAACTTCACCCCTGGATTTCACAGAAGGGTATAGCTGATGGGGCCACCTGGGTTCTGGGACCCTGCCCAACTCCTCTCTTTTCTTTTTCTCTGTACTCCTTTTTCTTTTAAGCTATATCTTAAATTTTAGTTTACTTTTATAAAATCATATCTTTATCTTGCAATTGGAAAACCACTGGTGTCAGGTAGTAATATTTATGTAAATACTAAAACTCCCCATGGAATCTGGGTGTCAGGCATGACTTAAGGAAACGCATTCTGCAAAACTTTTATTTCTCAGATAGTCCCTGATTACAGGCATTCTTCCGAGCATAGCACTTTCACGTATATCTTTTATCAAAATTTTCTTTTTATCAAGAATCAGACTTTTTGCAACCATCTCATCACCAGGATTAGTTTAAGGAAATGTGTCACCTCTCCCTGCCTGTGTGATTTGTACTTCATGTGTGGCTAGAATAGTTAGCTGTCCCCTTTGCAATTTTAGAAAGCAGTGTTAGAAATCAGGAAGTGGGAATCTAAGGGAACATGAAGGAGGAATTTGTTTCCTCTGAGTTCTTGCTCTTCAAGCCTGATTTCCATCTGAACACGAAGCCCTGTGGGTCTCCAGCTTGTGACAGTGGCTTCTTGGGTGCTGTCTTGGCTGTAGGAGGTTTTAGGGACTTCAGGAGGAAAGGATAACGCATGAGCATCTACTGCCACACCATCTTGTCTTGTTTTAGGAAGAAGTCCCAGGTGGAAAACAGATGCTGAGGGGTTGGGAACACAGGGCAGTACATTTTGAGGTACAGGCAGGGAGCCTCAGGGTAGATGCATGGGGCAGATGGTGTGGAGACAGGAGTCCTGAAGAGATGCCACTTCCTAATTCACTCAGGGTCAGCTCTGGTCAGTGCTGTCTGTTAACACTGCCAAGACTGTGCCTATGGCTGAAGCTTTCCTCTTGGCTGAGACATCTGGGTCTTCACCCTTGTTTTATGTACAGAGTTCCAACTTGAAAAGAGGAATAATATGGGCCTTATTTTAATAGCAGCCATGTTCTGTGACATTCATAGAATGTCCTGATGTTAGTCACCACCACAAAGTTCCATCCCTGACCTTCTGCACACATTCTCTCAGACTCAGGCTGTTCTGGCCAAGCTGCAGGGCCACCTGGGCCCAGTGACTGCGGTGGAGTTCTGTCCCTGGCAAGCAGGCATCATCATCTCGGTGTCTGAGGACAGAGGCTTTAAGGTGAGCGATGGACGCTGGACCGTGTTCCCACGTGGCACGCGTTGTGGAAAGACCTGTGGTTACAGGGTGGCTGTGCGGCTGCTTCACGGCCAGTGCCGCCTGAGTGGTAGTGTTTCTGCCCCACTCTGCAAGGCCACCGCCATCCTGATTTCCATATAAACACCACGCCCTGATGCTTCATGGCCACTGCTGCCTGAGTGGTGGTGTTTCTACCCCACTTCTGCAAGGTAAACGCTGTCCCAGTTGCCATATAAACACCAAGTCCTGATGTTTGCCGGGCCGTTGGCTGGGCTTGGATTCCTGACCGAACGGCCCCAGCTTTCCCACAGTGGAATCCAGGGCCTGAGTGAGACCAAGCAGGAATTCTTCTCCATGACGTTTCCCAGGCCCAGAGCAGAAGAGCCAGTTCCAGGGTAGAGGTCTCAGTCAGAACAAAATGAGGATCTAGAAGAAAATGAAATGCAAATTCGGTGTTTATCCAGTTGACATGAGTGTGCACCTGGCGGCCGGGATGTGGGCCTGACATGCAAGTGTGCACCTGACAGTGTAGACCTGACACGTGGGTGTGCACCTGACCATGTAGACCTGACCTGTGGGTGTGCACCTGACAGTGTAGACCTGACACACGGGTATGCACTTGACAGCTGACAGTGTAGACCTGACACGCGGGTATGCACCTGACCATGTAGACCTGACCCGTGGGTGTGCACCTGACATTGTAGATCTGACATGCAGGTATGCACTTGACAGCTGACAGTGTAGACCTGACACGCGGGTGTGCACCTGACCATGTAGACCTGACCCGTGGGTGTGCACCTGACATTGTAGATCTGACATGCAGGTATGCACTTGACAGCTGACAGTGTGGACCTGACACGCAGGTGTGCACCTGACCATGTAGACCTGACTGCAGGTGTGCACCTGACAGTGTAGACCTGACACGTGGCTGTGCACCTAACAGTGTAGACCTGACACATGGATGTGCACCTGACCATGTAGACCTGACCCACGGGTGTGCACATGACAGTGTAGACCTGACCCGTGGGTGTGCACCTGACAGCTGACAGTGTAGACATGACACATGGGTGTGCACCTGGCAGTGTAGACCTGACCCATGGGGTGCACTTGACAGCTGACAGTGTAGACCTGACCTGCGGGTGTGCACCTGACAGTGTAGACCTGACCCGCGGGTGTGCACCTGACAGCTGACAGTGTAGACATGACACTCGGGTGTGCACCTGATAGTGTAGACCTGACCCATGGGAGTGCACCTGACAGCTGACAGTGCAGACCTGACCTGCGGGTGTGCCCTGGACAGTGTAGACCTGACATGCAATTGTATACCTGGAGGTCAGGGTATGGGCCTGACACGTGAGTGTGCAGCTGACAGGGTGTAGACTGCTACAGTTTCTGCTTGGTGCCCCTATCTTGGCAATGTTGACCAAGTGACCAAGGGAGCTGTTTCTAACCTTGTTTCATTTTTGTTTCCAAGTCTTCAAATCCATCAGGGGTTATTTATGGAAGTGACCTGATTTTTTTCTTTTCGATTCTGACATCTTTTATTGTGTTCCTACATTTTTATTACTTTTGTGCTCATTTTATTGCTTTCTGTTTTAGATCATTGTTTACTTTGACTAATCTAATATTGGGTAGTACTGTTAGCTTAACCTATTGCAATAATGGCAACGTTCTTCTCAAGAATCCTATGTTTATCCAAAGGTCTGGGACCATTGTACAGGATCGTTAATATACAGTTCATCTGTGTTATCAGGTAAATTTAAAACTCTCATGTTTCCTGAAAATAACCCACTTATTCTAGAGCATATTTCAGGGCATAAGATGAAGCCGTAACATTCAGGTGGATCTGAATGAGGATCTCAGACTTACAGCCCTTCCCGACCGTGCACATAGGGCAAGGATTCATTTAACAGTCAATGCCCTTAAAGTTTTTCAACTAAATTAAACTTGTGCTTGGAGTCTGGGCCTTTCTGTTTTGGAAAAGAATAAAGCACGTTTGCTGTAAGATAAAATGCCAGCGTACCCAGGGAAGGCGAGCCCTCTACTCTCTGTAGAAACAAGTCCAAGAATCAGCGGTGTTGATGGGGCCAGGACTGCCCTGCTCATCCCGTGTGCGTGGGAGTGTGCCACACAGCGGCCTCTGGGCCAAGCACTGAGCATGCGTGCAGCTCGTGACCGCCAGGGTCGTTGCGTTCTTCCCCAGATGGCTTTTGTGTTGGTAAATGAGACTGACGCACGGCCACACCGATGCAGCACTGACGGTGCAGGTGTCGGTGGAGCGCGACGGAGGAGCTCCTGCGATGCCCCAGCACCTCTCCGGTACAGCCCCGGTGGTGTCCCCCGGGCGCCTCAGGGCACTGGTTTCCCGCATTCGCTTTGTTCCTCTTGTGCACGTTCTGTCTTCCCGGAAGAAGAGGGGTAGGGAAGTAAAAGAATACCGTTCTTTCGTGGGATAAGTGACATGAAAATGCCACGTGTGTACCTATGCAACAGTCTTGCATGTTCTTCACATGTACCCCAGAACCTAAAATGCAATAAAAAAGTGCTATGATAACATGCTAGGCTATCTCATGGCATGTGGGCTCAACAGCATGTCCTGCTGAGGTGATCTCTTTTACTCTCTCGGTAAGCATCAATTTCTGTTAAAAAAAGAAAAAGAAAATGCCACTTAAAGCATATACAGATACTGGTAGAGTTATAGCCTCTCAAAGACTGAACATTCTTTCTGAGGTCAGTGTATCCATGTGTAGACTATGGTACTCTAATGACTTGAATACATTGCTTTCTCAAGGTGAAGCACTTTTCTTGGAAATATATTGGAATCTTTTTACTGAAATTAATGATATGGAATTACTATTTGGTTGCCAAGAACAATGATACACTTGATCTTAGATTTCATTTATAGTTTAATTAGGACATGTAATATTTTTCAATATTCATTTATTTAATTTTCCTGAATTATTGACAGTTTAAATGAAATGACACCCTAGGAAATAATTTTTTTCCGGGAAAACCAGATATTCATTTAATTGCTGTTTTCATCACCAAGTTTATAGTTTTATTATATCTGGCTGTCTCAGGAATCCTTCTGCTCCAACTGCAGTGTTGACTGAACAGCAGTGCTGCCTTCCCTCTAGGTTATAAAGCAGCTGAGGATTGGGTGGTGGTTTAATCACACTGGGCCTCCTGTTGGGCAAGTGGGATGGGAACCCTCGGGACCAACATGTGGCAGACTCCGTGGGTGTCCTTTTGGTTGACTTCCCCAGGCTTCTTTGTGCGCATGAGGTTTCCAACATTTTTACCTTTTGTTTTTGGAAGAAATTATTTTGGAATAGTTGAAACTTGACTAACAGAAATACTGTAAGTAAATATGTGTAAAGAAATAAGTAAAACTGATAGTTCTCGGCTTAATTGGTACCAGGCGCTTATAAAGCTAAATTTTCTGATGTTTCTTTCACCAGCATATCCTCTTCTCAGCTTATTCATTGATGCAGGAAGCCGGCAGCTGGTCACTGGGTGTGCCGACGGCCAGGTGAGACAGCCACGGAGTTCAGATTCAGGTCTCAGACATTCCTGTATGTGAGCATGTGCACAAAGGTCTTTGTCTTCAGGCCGCTTTGTATTTTCCTGTGATTTGAAAAACACTCATCCACCTCAGTGCTGAGAATCACCTTCTGTGGGTGTCAGCATCACTGTGGGTTCAGTATGGCCCCAGGCCCCCTGGTCTGCAGAGGAGCTGGGTCTACATGTCCCAGAGCTCCATGCATTCTTCTGGAGTGCAGCGAAAGTGAGGGCCACTGACATGATCTTTAAAACCAGCTGGGAAGAGGGCTGTGAACAGACATCCCACACAGGCTGCCTGTGGCGGTGGAGACGCTCCCTGCCCTTCTCCTCTGGTGGCTTCCCCCGCGCTCCTTGTGCTCCTGTTTCACGTCAGCTTACATACTGTTGAAAACCTGAATATATTGATCTTTTTCAAAACATTTTTTAGGTGAACATTTTAGGTTCATTTCACATAGCCTGGATACAGTTGCTGTTGATATAATTTGAAAAAGATATTTTTGAAAACTTAGTTGACCACTCCTGACTTTGTCTTTCAGCCAGGGCATGTGGGACATACTCTTGGCTGCGAAGCTGTGGGGTGTGTGCAGAGAGCCTGGGGTCTGGGGGTCCCGGAGGTGCTGTGGGGTGTGTGCAGAGAGCCTGGGGTCTGGGGGTCCCGGAGGTGCTGTGCGGTGTGTGCAGAGAGCCTGGGGTCTGGGGGTCCCGGAGGTGCTGTGGGGTGTGTGCAGAGAGCCTGGGGTCTGGGGGTCCCGGAGGTGCTGTGGGGTGTGTGCAGAGAGCCTGGGGTCTGGGGGTCCCGGAGGTGCTGTGGGGTGTGTGCAGAGAGCCTGGGGTCTGGGGGTCCCGGAGGTGCTGTGGGGTGTGTGCAGAGAGCCTGGGGTCTGGGGGTCCCGGAGGTGCTGTGCGGTGTGTGCAGAGAGCCTGGGGTCTGGGGGTCCCGGAGTTGCTGTGGGGTGTGTGCAGAGATCCTGGGGTCTGGGGGTCCCGGAGGTGCTGTGGGGTGTGTGCAGAGAGCCTGGATTCTGGGGGTCCCGGAGGTGCTGTGGGGTGTGTGCAGAGAGCCTGGGGTCTGGGGGTCCCGGAGGTGCTTTAGGGTGTTTGCCGAGAGCCTGGGGTCTGGGGGTCCCGGAGGTGCTGTGGGGTGTGTGCAGAGAGCCTGGATTCTGGGGGTCCTGGAGGTGCTGGGGTGTGTGTGCAGAGAGCCTGGGGTCTGGGGGTCCTGGAGGTGCTGTGGGGTGTGTGCAGAGAGCCTGGGGTCTGGGGGTCCTGGAGGTGCTGTAGGGTGTTTGCTGAGAGCCTGGGGTCTGGGGGTCCCGGAGGTGCTGTAGGGTGTGTGCCGAGAGCCTGGATTCTGGGGGTCCCAGAGGTGCTGTGGGGTGTGTTCAGAGAGCCTGGGTTCTGGGGGTCCTGGAGGTGCTGTGGGGTGTGTGCAGAGAGCCTGGGGTCTGGGGGTCCCAGAGGTGCTGTAGGGTGTTTGCTGAGAGCCTGGGGTCTGGGGGTCCTGGAGGTGCTGTAGGGTGTGTGCCGAGAGCCTGGATTCTGGGGGTCCCAGAGGTGCTGTGGGGTGTGTTCAGAGAGCCTGGGTTCTGGGGGTCCCGGAGGTGCTGTGGGGTGTGTGCAGAGAGCCTGGGGTCTGGGGGTCCCGGAGGTGCTGTGGGGAGTGTGCAGAGAGCCTGGGTTCTGGGGGTCTCGGAGGTGCTGCTGTGGGGTGTGTGCAGAGAGCCTGGGGCTGGGGGTCCTGGAGGTGCTGTGAGGTGTGTGCAGAGAGCCTGGGGCTGGGGACCCGGAGGAGCTGTAGGGAGTGTGCAGAGAGCCTGGGGCCCAGGGTGTGTGTAGAGAGCCTGGGGCCGGAGGGCCTGGAGGAGCTGTGGGGTGTGCACCGAGAGCCTGGGGCTGGGGTTCCAGAGGAGTATGTGGGGAGGCCTGCACAATGGGACCCTGCCTGTGTGCTCTGAGCTGAGGTGCTGGCAATTCAAAAGTGCTCTGACACCGGGGGTGTAGGCCGTAAGGAGGGCTTCCAGGGTGGAGGTTGAAGGCAGGAGAGAGCTGTGCAGGGAGCCTCTGCGGGGGGTGAAGGGCTTGTCCTGTGATGCATCTTCCCTCGTGCTTCTACTCTGGTGTTCTGCTTTGGTGGAAGGACCTCTGCTGTAGCACCATGTCTGCGTGTTCTTTGCATTTGTAGCTTTGGATCTTCAGTCTGATGGATGGACACCACTATCGTCGTGTGGCACGGGTTGACCTAAGGAAGAAGACAGAGACTTTCTTCACAAGAAGGGTTAAGTCTGGGCTGTACAGCCAACCAGGTGTGTTGCTCAGCCCCTCCCTCAGGCCTCCCACTTGGCCTGGATCTTTCACCAGGCACTGCGTCGAGGGCCCTAGGTCTGACCAAGGCGAGAGAGAGGTCCCAGTTTAGGAGAAGCCTAGGGCTGCAACCTCAGAAATACGCTGAGGCCCTGCAGGTCATGTGAGGGGTAGGCAATCAGCACATAGAGGCATCTGGTGTGTGTGGGGACAGGGCTGAGGGGCTTTGGTGAACAGAAGAGCACAGGCCCCAATACAGCAGCTTCATGGCTACCTTGGGCTACTGTCCTGCAGTGGGTGACCAGGGAGGGCAGGTCATACTGATCAGAAAGGTGCACTGCATGACTCACATGCAACCTGCACCTGCCTAGCAACCTCTACATCCTCACCTGGTCTCCTGTGAATCTCAGACACCACCTACATCCGCCCAGCACCCTCACATCCTCACCTCATCTCCTGGGCATCTCAGATGCCACCTGCACCCACCCAGCACCTTCACGTCCTCACCTGGTCTCCTGTGCCTCTCAGATACCACCTACACCAGCCCAGCACAACCTCACCTGGCCTCCTCTGCATCTCAGATGCCACCTGCACCCGCCCAGCACCCCCATGTCCTCACCTGGTCTCCTGTGCCTCTCAGACGCCACCTGCACCCACCCAGCACCCCCACATTCTTACCTGGCCTCCTCTGCATCTCAGATGCCACCTGCACCCGCCCAGCACCCCCACGTCCTCACCTGGCCTCTGCTGCATCTGACACCACCTACATACGCCCAGCATCCTCTGCGTCCTCATTTGGTCTCCTGTGCATCTCAGACACCACCTATACCTGCCCAGCACCCCCACGTCTTCACCTGGCCTCCTGTGCATCTCAGACACCTCCTGCACCCGCCCAGCACCTTCACGTCCCCACCTGGCCTCCTGTGCCTCTCAGACGCTACCTGCACCCGCCCAGCACCTCCACATTCTCACCTGGCCTCTTCTGCATCTCAGACGCCACCTGCACCCGCCCAGCACCCCCATGTCCTCACCTGGTCTCCTGTGCCTCTCAGACGCCACCCGCACTCACCCAGCACCCCCACGTCCTCACCTGGTCTCTTCTGCATCTCAGATGCCACCTGCACCCGCCCAGCATCCCCACGTTCTCACCTGGTCTCCTGCTATCCAGAGTTGCTTCCTGTTGACCACAGCTCACCTCATGTGTGTTTTTATCTTCTGTACTGTCACAAAGGAGCTGACCCTCTCCTGGAAGAAAACACTGATTTTGCTTTTCAGTCCAGGGGCCACGTCTTTCATTGGTAACGTGCAGCTGACATTTCGTATTACAGCAGTCACCTCTGTTCACAGTGTACATGCTCTTCCTCACACTTGTTACTCATTCTTTCTTTTAGCTCTTGCTTTTTGTAAATGACTTTAAACTATTTCTTTTCATATTAGGTCTGAAATTACCTTTAGCAAGCATAACAGTTTTTTCCCTAATGCTTTAGGCTTTGGTTTTGTTATTTATTTGATAAATAATTATTTACTACTGAAGCAAACCTTAAACTTAGTTTTAGGATCATGAAGTTTACTTCTTTCCATGGATCATCTCTTATTTCCCACCCTGTCTCTGGTTCTGCACTTAAAGTTGCATCGCTCCCGGGCAGTGCTATGCTGGGTGCTACCTCAGTGCTTTCCTCACTGTGTGATTTAAGTGACTCCTCAGTGCACACCTGTCATGCTGGGTGCTACCTTAGTGCTTTCCTCACTGTGTGATTTAACTGACTCCTCAGTGCACACCTGTCATGCTGGGTGCTACCTCAGTGCTTTCCTCACTGTGTGATTTAAGTGACTCCTCAGTGCACACCTGTCATGCTGGGTGCTACCTCAGTGCTTTTCTCACTGTGTGATTTAAGTGACTCCTCAGTGCACACCTGTCATGCTGGGTGCTACCTCAGTGCTTTCCTCACTGTGTGATTTAAGTGACTCCTCAGTGCACACCAGTCATGCTGGGTGCTACCTCAGTGCTTTCCTCACTGTGTGATTTAAGTGACTCCTCAGTGCACACCTGTCATGCTGGGTGCTACCTTAGTGCTTTCCTCACTGTGTGATTTAAGTGACTCCTCAGTGCACACCTGTCATGCTGGGTGCTACCTTAGAGCTTTCCTCACTGTGTGATTTAAGTGACTCCTCAGTGCACACCTGTCATGCTGGGTGCTACCTCAGTGCTTTCCTCACTGTGTGATTTAAGTGACTCCTCAGTGCACACCTGTCATGCTGGGTGCTACCTTAGAGCTTTCCTCACTGTGTGATTTAAGTGACTCCTCAGTGCACACCTGTCATGCTGGGTGCTACCTTAGAGCTTTTCTCACTGTGTGATTTAAGTGACTCCTCAGTGCACACCTGTCATGCTGGGTGCCACCTTAGAGCTTTCCTCACTGTGTGATTTAAGTGACTCCTCAGTGCACACCTGTCATGCTGGGTGCTACCTTAGTGCTTTCCTCACTGTGTGATTTAAGTGACTCCTCAGTGCACACCTGTCATGCTGGGTGCTACCTTAGAGCTTTCCTCACTGTGTGATTTAAGTGACTCCTCAGTGCACACCTGTCATGCTGGGTGCTACCTTAGAGCTTTCCTCACTGTGTGATTTAAGTGACTCCTCAGTGCACACCTGTCATGCTGGGTGCTACCTTAGTGCTTTCCTCACTGTGTGATTTAAGTGACTCCTCAGTGCACACCTGTCATGCTGGGTGCTACCTTAGAGCTTTTCTCACTGTGAGATTTAAGTGACTCCTCAGTGCACACCTGTCATGCTGGGTGCTACCTTAGTGCTTTCCTCACTGTGTGATTTAAGTGACTCCTCAGTGCACACCTGTCATGCTGGGTGCTACCTTAGTGCTTTCCTCACTGTGTGATTTAAGTGACTCCTCAGTGCACACCTGTCATGCTGGGTGCTACCTCAGTGCTTTCCTCACTGTGTGATTTAAGTGACTCCTCAGTGCACACCTGTCATGCTGGGTGCTACCTTAGAGCTTTCCTCACTGTGTGATTTAAGTGACTCCTCAGTGCACACCTGTCATGCTGGGTGCTACCTTAGTGCTTTCCTCACTGTGTGATTTAAGTGACTCCTCAGTGCACACCTGTCATGCTGGGTGCTACCTTAGAGCTTTCCTCACTGTGTTATTTAAGTGACTCCTCAGTGCACACCTGTCATGCTGGGTGCTACCTTAGTGCTTTCCTCACTGTGTGATTTAAGTGACTCCTCAGTGCACACCTGTCATGCTGGGTGCTACCTTAGAGCTTTCCTCGATGTGTGAACCGAGTGACTCCGTGGTCCACATGTGTCGTGCTGGGTGCTACCTTAGAGCTTTCCTCACTGTGTGATCCGAGTGACTCTGCGGTGCACATTCACCTCAGCATCTCCGTGGGGCAGTCCTTGGCCTTTAAACCTGATGGATGTGTTTAAGTTCACTTCTCAGATTGTCAATAATTCTGTTTCCTAGAAGAAAGCTGGCTTCCCTCTACAAGTGCTCTGGGAAAAGGAGAGCAGGTGGGAGTGACGTTTCCTATACTGAGACTTGCACCCTGCGATCTCTCACGTGTCCCACATTCCGCATGTGGATGGTAAGCATCAAAAGCTTGGCCTATGCCGTGTAAAGAAAACAGAAACCACAGAGGTCAGAGCGAGCATCTTCACAGATGTTAGGAGGTGCCCGGGGGACCTTAAATTCCTTAGATGAACATTAGATTTATTTTCTAAGAATGATTGAAAGAAAACCAAATTATTTTTGTCTCATTAATACTAATCTCATTCTTGGGATTGCATGCTTTAAATCTTAAAGTTGGTAAACTGGGCAGTGATGTGTAAGTATCTTTAATAAAAGGAATTTGATGATTTTTAAGTTTGTTACCAAAGTCTAGCTAGATCTTTGCCTCTGTGGTATGACTTTTTCTTTAGAAAGAGGAAATGGTAATGGTAATTGCCTCAGCTTTCCTGTTTCCCACTTGCACTGTTCATTACACATTTCAAGTTAACAGCAGATGAATTCTATTGATTTCTGGGCTCAGAAATAGTACACATATTTGGCAACATAAAGAAGTACTGTTTAACTGTTATTAAAGAACATGCTACAATTATGTTCACCTCTCCTCCCCAAAATGCTTGGAAAGCGCTGGAGATTAGGGGGCAGCGTTGCTTTGAATGGCTTCAGCCATTGCTCGACTGTGTCTCTGTGCAGAGCATCCCTGGAGCAGAACAGTCCCTGCTTGGTCCAAAGCATGGAGGGGAAGCAGGGTGGGCATGGAGGCTGGATGCTTGCTCCCAGAGGATGTGTGGACCCAAGGCTCTTCGAGGCCCCCGTCTCACCTATAGCAGAGGGAGCCCTTAGAGCAAAGCAGAAGCCACATGACACCTTCTGTTGACACTGGTGGGGGAAGCATGGACTGGTGCTGGTGGATGCCCAGGAGGAGCCCAGGGTGCTGCCTGGGGCAGAACTCGAGAGGGAGGCCTGGAAAGCAGGTTCCAGCTGGGGGCCTCTGCCAAGTGTGTGCCCAGCCTCCTCAGAGATAGCTGCTGAGTTCAGCAACAGATCCCTGTTGGCACTGGTCTTAACTCACCGCCTCGGGCAGCTGCTCTCCTCCTGGAGCTTGTTCCTCATTCATGGGTGGGCAGCTTGCGTGGCCCTCAAGTTCAGTCACTCAGATAGCATCTGAGCAGTGGCCTTGGCCCAGGTTCTGGTGGCAACCTTTTCTGTAACCTTAGAAGAAAACAGAAACCACAGAGGTCAGAGCGAGCATCTTCACAGATGTTAGCAGGCACCCGGGGGACCCACCACAGGCTGAATGGAAGCCCAGCACAGACGCGGTTCTCATTGGCAAGAACCTGCCCCAGCCTGTGCTCCCCACTTCTGCAAAGAGCTCACAGCCAGGCCCAGGGGTGTGCATGGGGCAAAACCTTCAGGAGTAAGATTAGTGTATGTCCTGTTCTTTTTGTTGTAAATCAGTCTTTCCTCTGAGAACACCCAGTGCTTGTGGATTGGAAGCTCAGTGGGCTTATTCGTGTTTAACCCAGCAAACCTGGAAGTGGAAGCTGCTCTCTATTACAAGGGTAAGATCTTTGGTGTAAATGCTGCATAACTGTAATGTTTTCCTTTGACTGGTGTGTGGGGTAGTGAAAGTATTTGTGGAGAAGGCCTCACCACGTGATCCGAGTGTCTCCGAGATGCACACGCATCACAGGATGAGATGCTTCAGTCACGACTCAGCATCGAGAACGCAAGGACCTCTGGGCTGCCAGATCCAAAGGATGAGGACCTTTCCCAGACCCTTGGGCACTCAGCCCTGGAGCCACCCCTTCCCTCCATCTGCCAGGCCCTCGCCAGACACGCCAGGCCACCTGGGGTGTGCAACACCCCAACACCCGTGGGAACACCCCTGGGAAGCCTCTGGCTTCTCCAGTATCCCTAGAGAGCCTCCCGGAGCCCCAGGCTTGCGCAGCGTAAACCTGGCCGAGGCGCTCTCCTCTCCAACCCTGGTTCCCTTCCCCAGTTTCTGCCACCCCCAGGAATGTAGGAATAGTAACCTCTACCCATCTCCTGCCCCCAAGGCTCCATCTCATCCCTCGACCCCAGAGGTTCCCACCCTCCTCTCCTAGCTCCCTGGCTGCCACCTGCCATACACTTTCTGCCCAGGAACCCAGGTGACTTTGAAAAGCAGGCTGGATTCCAACCTTTTCCTCCATTGCGAGGGGGTCCTCCGTGGCCACCTCCTAGGCACTGGCTTCTCTCGGTGCCTCCTTTCCAGCCCAGAATGCTCAGACTTCTGTGGGGCTGCAGGATCCATCTGCATCTTTACCCTCCCCCCTTCCCTTTAGGCGCCCATCCCTGCCCCTCCTCAGCTCAGCTAGGCACGGCTTCTCCTTGCAAACTCAGCCTTTCTTCCCCAAAACGGTCACACTCTGAATAACACATTTCCTTTCTGAGCTGCTGCTGGATGTGTGGCTTCTCCAGGAGGCTGAGCTGCAGGTCTCAGTCTGAGTCACATCCCAGCCTCAGAGCGAGGACTGGCGTGTGTGAGGCTCAGGGCCTGATGTGCGCATGGCATGGGGCCTTGCATATGTGTGGGTGTGAGGTGCACAGCCTGCAGTGTGTGTGGCCAGGCCTGGCATGTGTGTGGCGGGGCGTGGAGTGTGTGTGGTGTGTGGCCTGGTGTGTGTGCAGCATGGGGCCTTTCATATGTGTGGGTATGTGGTGCACAGCCTGCAGTGTGTGTGGCCGGGCCTGGCGTGTGTGTGGTGTGTGGCCTGGTGTGTGTGCAGCATGGGGCCTTTCATATGTGTGGGTATGTGGTGCACAGCCTGCAGTGTGTGTGGCTGGGCCTGGCGTGTGTGTGGCGGGGCCTGGAGTATGTGTGGTGTGTGGCCGGGCCTGGCGTGTGTGTGGCGAGGCCTGGAGTATGTGTGGTGTGTGGCCTGGTGTGTATGCAGCATGGGGCCTTGCATATGTGTGGGTATGTGGTGCACAGCCTGCAGTGTGTGTGGCCAGGCCTGGAGTGTGTGAGGCTAAGGGCTTGGTGTGTGTGTGTGTGTGTGTGTGTGTGGCCTGGTGTGTGTGCAGCATGGGGCCTTGCTATGTGTTGGTATGTGGGGCACAGCCTGCAGTGTGTGTGGCTGGGCCTGGAGTGTGTGAGGCTAAGGGCTTGGTGTGTGTGAGTGTGTGGTGTGTGGCCTGGTGTGTGTGCAGCATGGGACCTTGCATATGTGTTGGTATGTGGTGCACAGCCTGCAGTGTGTGTGGCTGGGCCTGGAGTGTGTGAGGCTAAGGGCTTGGTGTGTGTGTATATGGTGTTGGCCTGGTGTGTTTGGGTATGTGGTGCACAGCCTGCAGTGTGTGTGATGGGGCCTGGAGCATGTGTGGCGGGGCCGGGGCAGTGACTGCTCCCTTCCTCCCCGTCATGTTCCTCCTGGTCTTGCCGAACTGAAGATTTCCACAGCCTCAGCATCCCATTGGCCGGATCATGTGCCCTGAGGAGCCGCTTCGCAGATGGCAAGGTCGGTCCCCAGACATGGCACCCCCGATTTCTCCGTTCTACAGAGTGATCTAGTAACTACTGGCTGAGGAGTTGGGATTTTGGAGTGACAGGGTGGTGACCCTGCTGTGGGAATGAAGCCAGTGTTAGGCGCGTGTTCGGGTACTCCCTGAGTCTCTCTTCCCAGACAGTGTCACTAACCATGTGGAAGCTGTGTCCCTGCAGGCGCTGTGCTTGCTGGCCTCCCTGTTTGGAGGGAAGATTGCCGCATTGGAGGTGGACCCAGCTGCGCTGGTCGTGGCTCAGCAGTGCCCCAGGGTGGAACAGGGCCTCTCAGTGCCAGCCAGGTAGAGTGTCTTCAGGTGCGGAGTGTGTGTGCACTTTCCCCTGCATTTCTTTGTGTGTTGAGAAATAAAGTTTAGGAAGCTCTGAACTCGACCAGTGCTGACTGGAAGAAACAGTTTTTCATGCTGTTGCTTCTATTCTGTTGAAAACTAAATAGTTCATAGTTTACTTTAATGTGAACCACTATTTTATTTCAGGATACAATGTACATGATAAAACAGCACTTTTATTAAGAATATATTAATTTTTTCCCAACAAGGATAAGAATATGCTCGACGGTTTTCATTTTCAAATACTGCTCTGTCTTCCCCACCAGCTGCATGAATTAGTCATTTGTAACTGTCTTGAAAGTGTGTGTGTCATTGAAATGTGTCCATCGTGTCATTCTTTGCACTCCTAGTTTTATGTGGTTTGTTTCTGTTTCAGCTCCTGTGTCCTGCCTACCTCTCCACTGTATCTGGGAATTGCCAAGGAGAAAAGCACCAAGGCTGCTAGTGAACAGCAACGTGGTGAGTTCAGTGAGCTGTGAAATCTAAGAACACAAGGCTGATGCCTTCTTGTTGTGGTTAGGGCTGCTACATGGCTTTGAGAATTCCTATCTGTTAAAATACGCATTCTGCGCTTCCTTCCAGCCTTCCCTCCTTCGTATCTCTGCCTCTCATGTGTTTGTTACGTGCCTGCTGTGGTGGGAACATGTTGGGTGCTTCCCCTCCTGAACTGGGCATCCCTCGTAGCAATTCAGCACCATGCCCGAGATTGGAGGCTGGTGCCTGGTGCAGTGACAGTGCACAGTGCACCTTCAGCAGTGACTGACGGTGAGAACATCTGTTTCCCTTTTTCCTCTGCTGAGGAGTTTGAAAGCAAATCCTGAGTGTTTGTACACTGCACGCTTCAGTGCACATTTCTGGAACCTGTACATTTTTACCACCATGACATTATGTCAAAACCAGTAACTTTCTGGAATCTTGTATTAGCAAGCCCATAATAAATTATCCCTGATTGCCTCAACAATATTTTTTATTGGTTTGTTCTAAGCAGCAGCCAAATAAATCCACATGTTGCATCTTTCAAATATATAAAAATTAACTTTCACTTTAAGATGGTAAACTTTGTTATGTTCCATTTCTTTCAAGGCTTACTGATAATTACTTCTTTTTTCCTTCAGTGACCAGCCTAACCCTTTAATTGGTCTTGTTAAACCTCCTACTGGACCTACTTAGAAAGCCTGAGGCTTCCCCATACCCTTCTTTCACCTTCTGCCTTGTAGCTGCCTGACCACTGGCCCTGACCTCCCGGAAGGGCCATCTTCCCCGCCAGCAACCTGGCGACCCCACCCTCGGGCCTCTTCCCGGGCTGGGCTGGGCTGGGCTGGGGTTCCCATGTCAGGCATGTCTCGATCTCCCGTGGAGCCCGCCTTCTGACATGGGCCATGTCCTTCATGCTCCCTTGAAGCCCTTGAGCTTGACTTCTAGGACTTCTGTCCCAGCCTCTCTGCCCCCGCTCCCTACCAGACTTTTTGAAATCATGCTTTGAGCACCTTTGCCTTTCCTGGGTCTCACAGACTGTGTGGTTCGGGCCTGCCTTGCAGAGTGGGGAGGGCTGTTTTCAGGTGCTAGGCTGGGACTCAGAGCTGAGCTTGGGCCTGGAGCTGTTTGCTTGTTCTGTCCTACATGAGGGTCCCTGCTGCTGCGGGGTTTCTGACAGGTCCCCCATTCCTAGGCCCTCTTTCCATGAAAGACCCGCCTTCGGGGTTAAGTGCCTGTCTCCTGCTGGTTTATGCTCTGCTGCCATCCTATCACCATGGGGACAGTTCTGAGAAACTTTGAGAATGAAGGCCTGGGGAAGGCGGCCAGGCTCAGCCAGCATCATAGCCTCCATGCCAAGCTGACTCCTCACTGGGAGTGGCCTTTGACCTCATGAAGTCATGGCACTTCTGCTATGTAAGGAGGCACTAATTACTCATCATTGAGAAGGCATCTTAAATTGCAAAACATACATACAGCAGAGAAGACAACAGCAGGTGGGTTGGAAGATGGCTGAGAAGAGAATGCCTGTGGGCTGCTGTGGGCCTAACCCTCCCCAAGCTACTGCTTCCTCCTGGGCCTCCCGGCCTCCTCCTCCTCCTGGGCCTCCCGGCCTCCTCCTCCTCCTCCTGGGTCTTCTTGGCCTCCTTCTCCTCCTGGGTCTTCCTGGCCTCCTCCTTCTCCTCCTGGGCCTTCCCGGCCTCCTCCTCCTCCTCCTGGGCCTCCCAGCCTCCTCCTTCTCCTCCTGGGTCTTCCTGGCCTCCTCCTCCTCCTGGGCCTTCCCAGCCTCCTCCTCCTCCTGGGCCTTCCCAGCCTCCTCCTCCTCCTCCTCATGGGCCTTCCCTGCCTCCTCCTCCTCCTGGGCCTTCTGGCTTCCTTATCCTCCTCCTGGGCCTTCCCACCTCCTCCTCCTCCTGGGCCTTTCCACCTCCTCCTCCTCCTGGGCCTTCCCGGCCTTCTCCTCCTCCCGGGCCCTCTCGGCCTCTTCCTCCTCCTGGGCTTCCCGGCCTTTCCCTCCTCCCGGGCGCTCTTGGCCTCTTCCTCCTCCTGGGCCTTCCTGGCCTTCTCCTCCTCCCGGGCCCTCTCGGCCTCTTCCTCCTCCTGGGCTTCCCGGCCTTCTCCTCCTCCCGGGCGCTCTTGGCCTCTTCCTCCTCCTGGGCCTTCCTGGCCTTCTCCTCCTCCCGGGCCCTCTCGGCCTCTTCCTCCTCCTGGGCCTTCCCGGCCTCTTCCTCCTCCTGGGCCCTCCCAGCCTCCTTCTTGCCTTCTTGGGCATTCTTGCCTCCTTCCTCCTGGGCCCTCCTGCCTTCCTCCTTGCCCTCCTGGGCCCTCCTGCCTTCCTCCTTGCCCTCCTGGGCCCTCCTGCCTTCCTCCTTGCCCTCCTGGGTCCTCCAGGCCTTCTCGCCTGGTCCTCCCAGCCTCTTTGTTCTCCTTAGCCCCCTCGAACCTCCTCATCTTCCTGGATCCCCCAAGCCTCCTCACATGCTTTTCCCCCACCCCTTCTAGTCTCTCTTAGCCTTGTCAATCTCACCTCCTACCATTCATCCTTAACAACTAACAGTAGCAGGAGTCAGAGAAATCCCCAGGCAGGTGCAGGCAGGTCCCCGGTGAATCCTGACCTCCAAACCAAAGACAGTTTCAAGTCTGAGAGCCAAACTGTAAGTGTTGGATAAATCCACAGATTGGATTGAGAAACTGTTTTCCTGTTTGGTGCGCTTTCCTCTGATTGGTCCCTACCCTTCACCTATTTTACATAAACCTACCCTTCTCTAATTTTTTTTTTTTTTTTTTTTTTTGAGACAGAGTTTTGCTTTTGTTACCCAGGCTGGAGTGCAGTGGCGCGATCTCGGCTCACTACAACCTCCGCCTCCTAGGTTCAGGCAATTCTCCTGCCTCAGCCTCCTGAGTAGCTGGGATTACAGGCACGCGCCACCGTGCCCAGCTAATTTTTTGTATTTTTAGTGGAGACGGGGTTTCACCTTGACCAGGATGGTCTTGATCTCTTGACCTCGTGATCCACCCACCTCAGCCTCCCAAAGTGCTGGGATTACAGGTGTGAGCCACAGCGCCCGGCCTCTAATTGGTTTTTACACTGCTGTGCCCATCTCTGAGTTGTGCCTTTTTTTTTTTAACCTTTTTTGCATAGTGATAAACCAATCAACATGCACTCCCCCATTCTGAGCCCATAAAAGCCCTGAACTCAGCCACACAGTGGTGGTTGTGGGGGAACTACCTGACTGAGGGTAGGGGGCTGCCCTCTCTGGGTTCCCTCTCCTCTGAGAGCTGTCACTCAATAAAACTCTCTGCCTGGGCACAGTGGCTCACGCCTGTAATCCCAGCTACTTGGGAGGCTTAGGCAGAAGAATCGCTTGATCCCTGGAGGTGAAGGTTGCAGTGAGCTGAGATTGCGCCACTGCACTCCAACCTGAGCGACAGAGCGAGACTATCTCAAAAACAAACAAAAAATACTATCCACCCTTCTCACTCTTCAGTGGTCAGGGTAATCTGTTCTTGGATGCAGGAAAAGAACTCAGGACTCACTGAATGCGGGTATGAAAAATGCCGTAATGCTGTAGCCCGCCACCCTCCGCCAGCGCTGGGCAGCTGCCCCACACACAGGAACAGCAGTGGGACCAGGCCCGCCCCAGAACCCCAGGCCAGGGCAGGGCAGCGGGACTGAATGGGCTATAACACAAATGGGCTGAGTGGGCAGGTACTTCCTGTGCCTAGTGAGGGCCCAGGAAAGCCTGGGTAGGGACACTGCCAGCCTCAGGGTCTTCCAGCTGGCAAAGAGACACTGAAAAATCCTTCATCACAATGTCTCCTCTAACATGTCTGGTCTGGGGCTGGAGCTGTTCATGCATAGAGTAATATTCTTTCTTACCTGCATTCTTTTGTGGTCTGCTGTTTTCACTTTGTGTCTGTGAGATTTGTTTCAGTTGCTGTATAGCATTCTGTTGTCTGGATATACTGCCGTTTATGTACCCAGTTTATTCAGTATTAACAGACATTCAGCTTGTCCCAGGCCGCTGCTGTTATGAGCAGCCTTTGCAGCACATGCTGTATCCTGGAGCCGGGAGGGCTGCCCTGAGGTCTGCGGGGGTAGCTGCTGGGCTTGGGTAAGGTTCCCCACGTGGCAGATAATGGTGAAGGTCTTCCCAGGTAGCTGGCTGGCTGCTACCCTAGCAGCACACACCTCCCCACCTGCACTGAGCCCTGGCCAAGGCCAGATGTCACTGGGCACTGGAATATCTGCTCACCCAGTGTGAGACAGGATTAGCACTGGGTGGTCTCAGGAAGATGGAGAACTCAAGCAACAGTGAACAGAGGAAGGTGGCAAAGTAACCACAGGACAGCAGAAAACTCAAAGCAAGGGAGAGAGAGAAGGCCAACCCATCAGTGTGAGGTCTCCTCAGCTCTTCTGGGAAAATCCGAATAAGAGAAGGGGAGAGAAGGCGAACCCATCAGTGTGAGGTCTCCTCAGCTCTTCTGGGAAAATCCGAATAAGAGAAGGGGAGAGAAGGCAGCCCATCAGTGTGAGGTCTCCTCAGTTCTTCTGGGAAAACCGAATAAGAGAAGGGGAGAGAAGGCCAGCCCATCAGTGTGAGGTCTCCTCAGTTCTTCTGGGAAAACCGAATAAGAGAAGGGGAGAGAAGGCCAGCCCATCAGTGTGAGGTCTCCTCAGTTCCGGGGAAACCTGAATAAGAGAAGGGGAGAGAAGGCCAGCCCATCAGTGTGAGGTCTCCTCAATTCCGGGAAAACCGAATAAGAGAAGGGGAGAGAAGGCCAGCCCATCAGTGTGAGGTCTCCTCAGTTCCGGGGAAACTGAATAAGAGAAGGGGAGAGAAGGCCAGCCCATCAGTGTGAGGTCTCCTCAATTCCGGGGAAACTGAATAAGAGAAGGGGAGAGAAGGCCAGCCCATCAGTGTGAGGTCTCCTCAGTTCTTCTGGGAAAACTGAATAAGAGAAGGGGAGAGAAGGCCAGCCCA